TTTCAAGCCATTTTGCATCCTATCAAATTTAAACTCCCTCTCCCCCTCTCTCTCTCTCTAAAACTCAAGAGTCATCTTCATCCTCCATCTTTTCATCCGAATTCTTCATCATTTCTTCATCAAATTAGCAAGGATTTGAAAATATTACATTCCTCACATCAACAATCAAGGTAACATCTTCATCTCCCTCTTTTTATTGCAAAATTTTTGGAGAAAAACCCACTTTTTATGCATTTCTATCTACTATATTCTAACCTCCAAAAATTCTGAGTTTTAAGGAGAGATTACACACCAAAAACATGTAAAAATGTTATATGATGGTGGTAATCTATGATCCAAACATTAGAACTCAAGAAGGTAGGTAGAATCATGATTTTATGTGAGTTTGATTCTTAAAAATGGCATTTTTAGATGCTGACAAATTATGTGCATGTGCATAAATGGTCTATATCTTGAAAATAATATGTTCAAAAGTTATGAATCTTCCTCTAAAAGTTTATTTATTGAGTTGGGGTTGTAATACAATTGGTCTATCTCAAAAACATTGAGTTTTGACTCCCCAAATACTCAAAACATTATATATGTGCATCTGAGAGTTTTTTCAGTAGGTAAACCCTACTTTAAACAGCTATAAGTCTCTAGATAATCATTCAAAATCATTGGTTTTTCTTCTGGAAGTTAACTTAATGAGTTACCTTTCAAATGTCACTGATTTTATTCAAAAATGTGGTGATTTGAGGTTTTAATTACTCAAAACAAAGAGAGCATGCAATCTGTTCGAATCTGACAGATTTGTATATGTATGTTCCAATGACCATATCTCTTTCAAAACTCGATGAAAAAGGATGATTCTTTCTTTGAGAGTTAACTATATGAGTTATATTCTGCATGCAAGTGGAATCACATGAAAATATGGAGTTTTGTTCTCCAAACACTTAAAACACTTTGGGTGTGACACCGGGGCAGAAGCTTCAGCAATTACGTCTTACGAGCCGAGCCTTATTTCTAACCACAACACCATCTTCATCTTTTTTATTTTTGAATACCCATTTAGTACCGATAATCGTCTTATTGTTGGGACGAGGTACAAATCTCCAGACTTTGAGTGCTTCGAACTGGTTAAGCTCTTCTTGCATTGCTAATATCCAATCCGGATCAGCTAAGGCTTCAGAAACCTTAGTCGGCTTAATAGTACTCAAGAACGTGGAATACAGACACTCATTTGCTGTCGCAGACCGTGTACAAATGGGTGCTGATGGATCATGTTGATCACAGATCTCTCAATAACACTAATAATCCAGTTATAAATAATCAAATTATAGTGATTTTACGAAGAAAGTTATGAAGTCTCAAAKATAAAATAAGAACATTCAAGAACGACTTTGAGCTTCAAAGGTTTTACTTTTATAAATAAAACGTAAAAGTAAAGAGTAAAAGCCTTTCTCACGTACGCACATTCTTCTTTTTACAATAGACCTAGTCGTCTATTTATACTAGATGGCTAATGCTAAGATAACTATCTATTGCTACTTTCTAGC